AGCTAGGTTGGCTGCTGCTGGTGTCCCGTCTCCAACACTAGTGGAGACTAACTGCTGTTTGAAAGAGTTGGGGAATTTGTGCAAAACTTTATGATGAAGCTAAAGGTCAAATCTCTTAATGTAACTAATGCCCCTTTTTCATGGTTGCACAACACAATCCGATCCATTCTCCACGAAGGAATCCCTGTGCTTGCAGCTCATAGTGGCAAATAATATGAGACTGCACACTGGCATTTGTGAAGCATGAAGAGCATCAGTACTTGTGTTGAAGTTAGATGGTGTTTTGTTTCTAGCAACAGCTTGTTTAAATAGGAATCAGCGTGAGGAAGCACTGACATTCATGTCAGGAGACCTGGTCTCTCCTAGACTTACTGTGGGACCTTGACAAATCCTTCACCTCTCTGAGGCTGTCCCCTCCCATCCTGTGACTTGTCTGCTTAGTGGTAAGTTATTTGGGTTATGGACAGTGTGATGCGTGTATGTACAGTGCCTACTACAATTGAGACCCTGATCTTGGTTGTGGCCTCCAGCACTGCTGTAATACAAATCATAATGAAGGGATGGTTACTACTCCGCTAGTTCTTTAAGGCAAAATCTTGGACAATCTAGCTAAGTTACGTATGCCATCTATTGCCATAGTATCTGAACACCTCACAGTCCTTAGTCCTCATGACACCCCTGTGAGTGAGGGAAGTACTGCTATCCCCATTTTACAGATGGGAAGCGGAGGCATGATGACACTAAATGACTACCTCAGTTTCCTCCAGGAACCCTATGGTGGAGCAGGGAATTGAGCCCACGTCTCCCAAGTCTCAGGCTAGCGGCCTGACGACGGATTTTCCCTCCTGTCTGATATCGGCTTTCTTCCTCAACCTTTCTGGTAGTGGCAGTTATCACAGTACAAAGCACCTGTGTTTCCCCTTCCCCACCCCCAACAGCTCGCACACTCTAGGCTCAAGGCTCCTCAGCTTTCACTTCTCTTTGATAGAGATCTGCATGTCTCTCCCTCCGAATCTGGGTATATTTTCCAGGCTACACTGTTCCCTGCCTATTCCTCCCCAGCACAGTCAGTGACTGTGAGAGAGACTCCAGAGAGACAGGAAACAATGTAATTGCCACAGTTACAAATTACCCACGGCTCTCTAAGTAAGCACTTTATTCTTATGGTCAAAGCATTACAGAGAAAACATCTTGTAAAATATAAAAGAACCTACGTGTGTGCTAATAAGCACACCTGAGATCACCCCCTGACTCCAACAAGGTCTCTGATTGGTGATTAGTCCTTCAAACCCCACACAAGAGATTTTCTTGTGATCACCAATTGCCAAGCCCTACCATTCAATACTCAGCTCCCTTATGAGTTGGTAAGTGCCTCCTTTTTCCAGCTGCGGCTTTTGAAGAGGTAATCAGACAGACAATAGGCTTTTCTTCAAAAAGGATGACTCAGAAGGTAAATAATTTGTACACCCCGTTTTCACAAGTGTTTTCTAGGAACCCCCCCTTGACCAAAAAATTGGACTTGATTTGTCTATTGTTTTAAAAGAGTTCTTGGAAGCACATAATATTTCCCAATATTACGTTAGTCCTGGTCTCCTCCCTTGCAATTAAAAGAAGTTACATACCATCCCATAATAATACATAAATACTTGTATCTTTAGTACAATAAACTTCTAAGATCGTTTAACTTAATTCAGTAAAGTTTTGTCCAGGATATTGCAGGTTATTGTCATATCTGTCATGGCTTATGTGATGTAATTTTTGATGTTTGTTCAATGACCATTTTGTTTAAATTCTGTCTCAAGATCTTACTACATTGCCTGTCACCCCTAAAATATGAAATTCAGATCCAGAATCTTAACCAAGTTTAAACTGCCACAAAGTCGGGGGAGGTTGGTTTGATCACATGTTTCAGTTCAACACATTCTAAAGAAGAGGAAGAGTCACAAAGCTGAGATGTGAATTCCCCAAAATCTCAGGAGTAAAACCTAGAGGGGTTGATTTAGTGTTCCAGTTTGTCCTAAATTTTTAAATTTTAGCTGATATGTTTTTAGAACCACAGTTTAATTAGTATGTCAGGCCAGGTCTACACTAAAGGGTAAAGATTCACAACTCCAGCTTTGTTAATTACATAGCTAGAGTCAACGTATCTTAAATTACATTTTCTCGCCAGCCACACAGTGAGAGGTCGATGGGAGCAAACACTCCCATTAACATCCCTTACTCCTCGTGAGGAGCAGGACTACCAGTGCCAACAGGGAAGCCCTCTCAGTTTGAATTAGCTGGTCTTAACTAGACCTACTAAATTGAACTCCAGAAGATCGACTGCAGCAATGTCGATCTTCTGTGTAGCGTAGACATGACCTCAATGAATATGTACCTATGGTCTGTCAGATAGGTTAAATATAGTATCAGATACTATAGAATGAAACATTTTCTGTGGGAATTCTTAGAAAAGAAATTCCATTCCATTCTGGATCATTTCTGTAGGAAAAGGAAATGATTTTTAAATTAAGGGCTGGTGTGTGTCAGCTGTATCTGTGCATAAGCGATTCCTGTAAGGGAAAATAAATATGCAGATTCACTTTTTTATTACTTGCACTGCCTGAACAACTCTACCTCAGATGCTGTTCTAGGAAAATGTTTTAATATGAGGTGCCCAATATGTTGCCCATGGAATTCTGTTGCCCGTGGAATTTCCTCTTAACTGCAGAACAAGGATAAAGCTCATCAGCTGAAGGTTTCTATTGCTGGTGAACTGAAACCTGCATGAACTTCTACCATGAATAATAAGGGGCTGGGAACTACTGAGTTAACTGTAATGTTATTACTCTCTTATTCCAAACTCCTGAAGTAATCCAGAAAAAAATGTTCCCAATGTTTTTAGGGATTGATACAACAGTCAGTTCTATGCAGATTTTGGAGACACAACAAAAAATTGACCGTCGCTATTGTAGTAAAGGTCTACAGTGCAGGTGTGTAAAGCATTTTTTACATTTTATTAGTGTAATGAGGTATGAAGGTCATTAAGGTTGGTGATTGCCTGTCCTTTCACGTATTTTGATGAATATCCATTGCAAATATTATAGTTTAAATGAGACTTTTACAAGATAATCTATGATTTTTTTCTTAATACATATATAAGTTCAAATTTATGCAGACAAACTTCATTAACTCTTTGGTGTTAATACTGTCCCTTTACTGTTGCCAACATTTAGGTCTGGAAATTACAGCTATGTTATTCCTGTTAACAAATACACACCCATCAATGTAAAACTCTCCTTGGAAATCAAGTGAGTACAGTGTATGGAAGTGTGTTTGTAACAAAATGCGCTCTACATTTTATATTGAAGTTGCTTCTGCCTGATTTTTCTGTACCCCAGATGAAACTCATACCTGTACGGAAGCTAGGACAAAGGCAAGGCATAACTTAGTCTTTAAAATAGCACAACAGCGGGATATATTCATCAGACTAGTACTGGCATTACGCACAAGGCTGAATTTCAACCATTGGGTCCAAATTCAATAGATACTGAAGCATATGAATAACTTTACTCACTGCACATAAGCATTTGAAGGATTGGGACCTTCTTAAGAACATAAGAATGCCTATATTGGTCAGACAAAAAGTCCATCTAGCCCAGTATCCTGTTTTCTGGCAGTGGCCAATGCCAGGTGCCCCAGAGAGAATAAATAGAATAATTTATTGTGATTTTTAATATAGAAAATTGTAATTAACTATAAAATAGTCTTTGTTCTTTTCTATGCCATGGGTCACAGCTTAAATGATATATTTCTGGGGGTGGAGGGTGACCGGTAAAAATAGAAGAGTAGAACCTTGGATTCTTTCTTTCTCTTGAAGCACTACGGAGCCATTAATAGTCTTTGAATGCAAAGTCACTCTTGGAAATATTTGTTCCCATCAGTCACGAAACAGAAACAAAAGGGAGGCTTTCCAGGAAACCAGCCAGGTAATGCTTTTCTGAATTGTAAGGCTAAAATGAAAATTGAGGCAAACTCAGGAATGCATGTTGAATATCCTTGTGAACCTGATCCTGAGAGGTGTTAAGCAGAGAAATAATTTGTAATTAGTCTCAGCCCTGTCAAATCATTTGGCACTTCTTACAGACATCCCTGCATGCATCTTTCTGAGACAACCTTGATACCAAAATCACATAGACTACTGGTCTCGGTGATGAAGTCAGAAATGTCTTTAGGAAGTGCCAGTATATGTTATAGATGAGACAATAACACTTTGAAAAACTTAGTCATAACTCACGTGTCTCCTGGATGTCTCTCCCCAGTACAGATGATGGGAATATTTGGGTTCTAATTCTGTGAAAGTGGGGTGCTTGCCTCCCTTCTCCAGCAGAAGGCCATCCTGTGGTGATCAAAGCATGGAGACATGGGGGCAGGGACAGGAAGGCCTACACTTAGGAACTCCAGAGTGAGTTGAGGAGGGCAACAAATGCAAATCAATGAATCTCTAGGCTCAGTCAAGTCTCCACTTGTGGTGCTTGAAAAATACCAATGAAAAACTGATATAAGTGTAAACCAACAGACCCTGGCCCTTGGCAAGTGGGATTAAACCTGGAAACTTAATAGCTAAAAGATAGCTGGCTCTTAGCTCAGGCTGTAGAGCAGACTTCGCTCTCCCCAGTGGTCTCATTGCTTCTTGATTTCACAGGATCATCACCCTCAAATGATTCTGGAAAACACATTAGGTCAAATTCTGCTCACAAATCTAATAGCGTTAGTTTGCATTTCCACTGGTGTAAATGAGAGTAGAACTTAACTCTTTAGGGTGAATCGGTTTGCTGTGGCCTGTTGCAAAAACTAAACTAATGATGCTTTAAAGCTTCCATTGGCCTTTTGGGGAGGGTGGCTTTTTTCTGTCTTCATTTTTCCTCTGGCCTCTGTAGACTCACTCTTGCATAAAATGCACATTATATTACCAGCTACCAGCATCTGAACTATAACTCACCACTGGTGCAGCTCTGTCAGTGGTAGATACCTATGGAGGAAGATGTAACATGATGGTCATGGTAGCAAATCAGAGTCCCACATGGTGGTGAGCCCTACCCTCTCCCCCGACTCTGTCCATGCTACTGCTTCTACTACTAGTGAATTATGGCTTTATGCTGAAATCCTGGCTCCACTAAAAACAAAGATAAAACTGCCATTTAGTTCAGCTCGGCCGGGATTTCACTTATAAAGCAATCTGGAAAGAAGTTTACTGTGTCTAGGGAAGAATTATTTCCATGTATTCTCTGGGGGCTTTTCCCACCATTCCAGCCAGTTGGAGATCTGATTCTGCACTCACATCCAGGAAAGAGTACAGTACCTTGAACTTCCCATTAACTTCCATGAGAATTGAGGCAGCTCAGTACCTTGCAGGAATGTATCACAAGACAAGTGTTAGAATGGAATCCCCCAAACCAATAGGGCGATGAAGCTGCCTGGATGAAGTAAAAGCAGCTGGTTTAACATGGGGTCAAATCAAGACTATCGCTAAGGATTGCAAGAGATGGAGAATGATTGTGGAGACCCTATGCTCCATTAAGAGTCCAAAGGACTAATAGATAGCTAGAATACCTTGCAGGAATGGTTTTATAGTCTTCATTATACTTGCTTGGAAGTGTGTCTTCTAGCTTAAAAAAGGGTGGGTGTGGGGGAATAAAGGACAGAAAATTTGGAAAAAATTCAAGGGCAAACCTACATGTAATGAACACTTAAGAGTCATAGTAGGCCTACTGAACATCTAATTTTAGCCGGTGGAACATAAATGCTCTTCACATCCTGAATTCTTAAGTGTTATTAAATTGCATACTGGCTGCTGTGCTAATCATCTGGAGCCCTGTCTTTCTCCTCCCAAATGTGCCCAAGATGACTTTCAAATATCATTGAAAAAAGTGTTGGTTGCTGTGACTACACAGCAAGATCATCAGGCATTGGCAATGAAGATCTTTTGACCTCCAGCTGTAATTCCAGCAGTCCCTGAATCTCTGAGTCAGACCTAGAGAGTCTCCAAATCTGCCCATGTAAGGCTGTCACTGAGACTGACTGCTAACAAAGGTAGTCAGGCGTCATGTGTCAACTTGACATTCACATCATAGGACTGAAGCTAACTAGTTTGACCCTCAGGTAAGAAACTGCTTCTAGCAGCAGTAATATTGAGTCATTCAAGGTTGGCATGAGTCAGAATAAAAATACTGCCATTGAAAGTATTTGCTTTTAAACTTATTTTTCTGAAGGTAGCAAGATTTTATTCCCCAGTGCTTCGTAGACCAGCAGTTGGTTTGAATGATTTCTGCCTAAAATTTATATTGTGCATAATGTGCTACCTCTGCACCAGAGCAAGAGAGGAAGCTGGGACTTTATTGATATTTTTAATGTCTATTAGATCCTTGAATGAAAGACAGCATGTGAGTGCCAAGTCAGATCATTACATTATTCTTGCTGGAAAGGAATTGTCCCTGTACAATCTCAGGTAAAAGTGTTAGAGCCAAAATACGTGACTAGCGTTTGTATGTGGTGGAATGTTACATCACAGGTAAAATCAAAACATCTTCTTGCAAAAGTCTAGAATGAAGAAACTGCCTTATTCATAGAAGCACAGGGTTAAGAATACATAGAAGCTTGGGCACACCCAGAGTATTAATCATGCTGTGGCTTATTAGTCAGCAGAATCACAGTGTTTATCACTACTGCACTTTACACGTTGCAGAGCATTTTAGCACATCTGTAACAATTCTAGCTCCTTAAGTATGTCTAGGCAGCAACATTATTTCAAAATAACTAGCCTTATTTTGAAATAACTTAGTCCGCGTCTACCCAGCAGGCAGTTATTTTGAAATACTGTCAAGCTGGAGGACTTCTTATTCCAACTCCTGTAACCTTCATTGTATGAGGAGTAAGGGAAGTCGGAGGAAGAGTGCTCTATTTTGAAATAAGTGCTGTGTAGATGCTCCCAATTTTGAAATTAGCTATTTCGATATAAGCTATGTAATTGCCATAGCTCAACTTGTATAGCTTATTTCAAGTTAATCCCTGCTGTGCAGATGCATCCTAGAGGAGTCTAGAGAAGCTCAGTTATTCACGGTCATCTGAGAATGCTGGGAGCCAGATGTCTGTCAATTCCAGTTCTGAGCTGATTGGAACAAAATCCGTTCAGATCATTAAAAGTCAGCACTTTCCTTTTTTCTTTAAAAAGTATTGAATTCTTTTACTGTGGCTATCCAGCCTTGTTATCACAATGACTTGTACTTCATCTGACAGTGAAATGCTTTCATTGCCTATCCTCTATAACTGAATGTAAAATGAGGTTATCAAATTTATCTCTTTCTATAATTCATTGTCTAGGGATATCAGCATATTTGGATTCTTCCTGTGACTTGGTGGTATGACAGTGCATATCATTTCCGTGTAGCTGCACCGGTAAGCCTTTTTCAAATGGGAAATACACCAAAAGAAAAATGACATTATAGCTCTGATTAATTTTTACATTAATCTGCTTTATTTTTCTCCTGCAGGATCTTGCGGATTGCTCCACAGATCCAAATTATGCCGGGATCTTTTTTACTGATTACTACTTCTACTTCTATCGACACTGTAACTAAAATATTGCTGATCATTCTGTTTATTGGGGGCTGAGGGGAGGGTGTGGAGGCGGAGAGAAGATAATACTCATGGTACTAAAAAGAGTTTTGTCTTAGTAAAAGTTTGCAAATGAAATGTGATGTACAGAATGTTTCCTAGTTTTTGTTTTACCATTGACTTTTAGACAAGTGGGCAAAAATAAATATTTGTCTGTAGTCCAGGCTCTGCATGTCCGGTCATTACTTGTAAAAGGACATGATTTCTGAAAATCAATGGAGAGCTTGATGTGTAGATATTAAAGGGTTCAGCTCTAGTAACATCATAAGATACGATAGATGGAGAAAAAATAGTGGCATTCTAATATGCTTTAGACTGTTCAGAAGACTTTGAGATAATAAAAATATCAGTTGCTATAAAGACTTGTTTTTGTCCTACAAACATCTATCTATTGTGTGCCACCTTCTTTATAGAGTGTATGATTTCTACATAACAAAACCCTTGTTATGGTGAAGGTTGTACAAGTGCAAAATGTCATTGATGTAATAACGACAAGTTTAGGAAATTGTCAGTGAACCCCTCATTCCATGGTGCATCCTCATTTCTGTGTCATATGGGCTAGTACACCCTGCTAACATCACTCTCAGCAACAAATGTGCAACTTTAACAATGATGTCATTACTAGAATGGAGTGTATGTTTTAGACATGATATTTTGTTTTGATCTGTTCAGCAGAATATATCCTTGGATATTTTTGGAGCATGTCACGGATCCACAAGATCTGTGCTGTGCCCCAGCTTTTAAACTGTTCCTTCAATGTGCCATGTCCCCCGAAAGTTTCCCCTCTTTTGCCAGGGCAAGCCACTAAGCCTCAATGCCTCAGAGGCTAAGTTGTATGGTTTTCACTGAGAGAACTGGCCAGCGAATCCAACTGAGACAGACTCTGCATTCATATACATTTTGTTCTCATCAGGGATCAATTCATGTCAGCAACTATTTGCAGTGACACCATGAAACCTTTTCAGAACAGAGTAGGGTTTATTTGGCAACTAGAATACAGCATTAGGAAGGCTTTGGGTTAGCTTAGAGAAGCCAGGGTTAAGATATTGCCTTAGCCTGCATTTCTTTGAGCTATGATGCTCTAGGAACCATCTTGGATTCCTTTCTGTCTGGCTATGTCCCTTTGTCTGTCAGTCACAGGTCAGACCTGCTGTGTGTCTCCAAAGGTCAGCTGCTGATCCTTTCCTAAGTTCACATATTCTACCTGCCAGAGTTTCCAGTTGTTAGGTATTAATTGAGTTACCATTATTTTTCTTCCATACATATGGGTCAGGTTCAGCTTGTCATTGATGATCTGTTCATTCCACCCATTTAGCCCTCTGTATCAAGGGGGTTGTAATCCCTAGTCAAGTAAGTCACTTTCATACATAACACTCATTACATAATTACATTTTTACTTGACTTTGACATAAATTGCATAGCCTCAGTTCTGACTCAGCCTAGGTCTGGTGGCAGCAGCAGCACTGTAATTTAAGCACTGTAGTCTAGCATATAGACTGACTGAAAATTAGTTGGACTAAAAAGAAGAATCAGGCACAATGATCCATGAAAACCAAGAATGAATACAGAGAAATGTTCTTGCAGCTATAGCAATGAAATGAATTGGATTGAGGGACGGTGACCACAGCTGGAAAATTGGGACAAGCACATATTCACGTGGCACCACCAAACTGGATGTCTTATCTGCTTATGGACAAGTCAGGATTTCCCTCCCTGTGTGATTTCAAAGTGGTGTTTGGCAAACTGCTCTGTACAGAACTGAAGGCAGATTGTAGGTCCCTTGGAAACATTCACACACATTCCTCTGGAATTGGGGGCTAGTGGGCATCACCTGCATACATTAGACAAGACTGTACCAAAAGCTAATGCCTGATCAAATTTTTTAGGCTCCTCCGTTCTGATTCAGACAAGATTCCCATTGAGCATCATTATCAAAATAAACTGAACTCAGCACTTAAAAATGTGAGAGAACTGTCCACATTTTAGCTTATAAATGTCACCTCATTTTTCCATTCTATAGGTGGAACTTGAATACTGTACGTATTAGTGCATAATCACTTTGCACAACATGGAAGTCAGGTGAGTAGAGGTTGTGCATATTAGTCCATGAGCACAGGAATGTCCGTGGGGCATGATAATTCTGTTTCACTCATGCCTCTGAATCTCTTGCCCTGTGTCAAGGAAGATGATGTGCATGAGTCCAGTGCTTGTCCTCAGTTCTGGCCGCTCTACTCAAGTTTGGAGATTGGATTTGTCAGCAAGAGTAACCCAAAGCAGGAGTAGCTGAACTTACTCACATAAGAGAGCAGATAGGACTGGATAGGAGAGTAGCTCTGTCTAGTGCCCAGGTGAGTAACTTTCCCTCCCACCTTTTCACATCAGGCCTCAGGTTTCTCACTCTGGTTGTGAAATCCATGGCAATTTACAATAAGTGCTGCACTATTCTTCTGCTGTGAGGTGGTTTTTGGCTATTTTCTGTAAACACAGTTTCTTACATATGCCTTATGTATGTCTCAAGCTTCATGCATTTGGCTCTATGGACTTCTCTATGAACACAGTAAACATTGTTTTTTATGTTAGCTGTACTATTATCATTGGAATACAGTAAGTGCTTCTGAATGACCAAAAGACAATTGTGATACGAATATCTAATCTATATTGGGTTTATTTTTTGGTCTTCTTATTGAATTGTGTATTTATCAGTGAAACTTAAAAACAGATCAGCTATTCTTTACAGTAGCTGCTGCTTCAAGGTAAACAGCAAAATGGTATGAGAAATCAGAATTGCATTTCATGTGCAATGCAAGATTTTGTGGCTGAATTTCATGGTATTTATTGCCTTATCTGATGACCTAATTCTTTTAAAATGTGGAGTCCTGTGCTTACGAAGCAGCAGTACAGACGACATACCATGAAAACTCACATTATAGAAAGTCTCTTATACTGATTATGATTTCCATCTTGGACTATCTCCATTGAATGTCATGTATCTATTCTAGCTGCACTGGAACCATGTTAAAACTAAAGCCAAATTCTTCTATCTTCCAACAGGGCCAGGGGAGGCTTGCTTTTCAGAGGAAAGAATCCAAAATAGGAATGGCAGGTTGGGAAGATGCAGCAAAGCCCTGCGATTTGCCCGGTATCACTTTCAGTCTATTGTATAAAATGTACTTTTAAAATTTGTTTAATGCAAACCCAGCAGAACTGGCCCAGAACTGCATGAAATATGACTTTGGCACCTCCCACCATTCAATATAGGGAAAAAATGAGAAGTCTAGAATGAAATTTTATTTTTTATTTACTTAGCATTCAAAATGTACAATGTAAACATAAAAATAAATATTTTTTATGGATTCCCCCCCCCCCCCAATTTTTCATTAATCCTATCACACTGGTAAACATTGCTGCTGCCTCTCAAACGAAGCAACAGGGAATTCCAAAACCCTTTCATTCTTAGCACTCAGACCAGTGGCAGTCTGAGTCCATACAAGACATTCAGGGAGTCCTGGTCCCAGCCTTGATAACCTTAAACAAACTGTCAGAATGTCCAATAGGTGCTAATATGTGACTAGACTGACAGTGAGTTTAAAAATGTCAACAAGGCAGGCTAGTATAAAATGAGTCAATTTGCTATGGATTCAAACACAAATAACCATTTTTAATGCTCTCCTATAGCTTAAAGTAGTCAAACTGACTTTTGTAAACATAATCTCTCTTTCTCCATCTAGCTCTAAAAAAAAATCGCTTGTTTTTCTGGCTTTCGATTTCTTTGCCCAAATTTCATACGAATTGGCATTTTCCATCAAAGGACTGCTGATTTAAAATAATAGATCTGATAATAGAAATCCTGACCCAGTTTTAACTTTCCTTGCTGTAGTCCTGGAACAAGCAGAATAATCTACAGAAGGCCAGTCAATGGAACATAAGCATCTTATTACTATTTGTCCTGCATTCGAAGAGCCTGTCTCCTAACAGCTGACCACAGCCACAGTGCTGGAAAGGAATTGAGGTTACATCGAGGTGGGCAGTAATTTTTGCAGGGGGGGCCACTTGAGACCAATTTTGGGAGTGGTCTCAGGCCTGCTCTAGCCCTCAGAAGGGGTGGGGCCTCAGGTGAAAGTGGGGGCCCGTGGGCAAAAGGGGCGGTTCCCTTTAGGTGCCATGTGCTCAGGATCGGGCGGGAGGAGACTTTGTGTGCTCCCCACCCCTGGTCAATTGGGGCCTGGGAATGGGGGACCACGAAGTGTCTCGTACCCACCCCTGTCCTGCCAGTGGGGTTCAGTGCTTAGAGGGAACTGCAAGCCTTTTGAAAACCTGGCAGTTCTCTCTGGTCTCACGTGACCTGGCAGGAGTAGGAGACTTCGTGTGCTCCCCTGTCTGTGGGTCTCATATATCTTTGCGGGCTGAATCCAGCCTGTGGGCCATATCTTGCCCACCCCTGGGTTACATCCTCACTTGGCTCTTCAAGAAGATCAGTTCCTCAGATCAGGAATCTTTTTTGGTTTCTGCTAACGGTGCTGAAACAATTTGTATGATGGGGATGCAGACTAAGGATGTTAAAATGTGGTTAATGGACTAGTTGACCAGTTGATGGAATTTCGATAGGTACTTCGACATTCCTCCTTTGAAGTGTACAAGAGTCCCTGCTGGAGCTCTTGTACATTTCAAAGGAGGAATGCAGAACTCCACATCAGTGGGAAGTCTCACTGACTCCGGGCTGCACACAGGCATGCCTGCTTTGAAATGCATAAGAGTTCCCAGCAAGGACTCTTGTGCATTTCAAAGCCATTGAGTCCAGGGTCAGTGGAGGACTCAGAGTCCCCTGCTGACCCCAGGTTCCATGCTATGCTGCATACCACTAGGCGCCCAGGGTCAGCTGAGGACTCCTCAGCTGACCCTGGCCTCCATGCAGCATTTCCCCAGAACCCTCCCCGGGCTCCACAGCAGCTGCCCCCTTTGTAACGCCGACCTTGGGTTTTCAAAGCCGCAGCTGTGCAGCACTGCCACTTAGAAGTACCCCTTCTCCCCCCTTTGCTGCCCTTATTTTATAGAGGCAGCAAGGGAGGGGGCAGGGAATCGACTAGTCAACTAGTCAAAAGACTATCTGATAAGCAAATGCTTATTGGATAGTTGACTAGCCAACTAGTCTTTAACATCCCTAGTGCAGACAGCCGTTGAACCAAACTGTAACCCCTGACTACGATGGAAACTACTTCAAGCCAGGGTATGCTGCAGCTCCCCCATACCCTGAGTTCCAGTACCTCTGATTGCAGTCATTCTTATACTCCTAAAACCCACCCACCCTCTCTCTGGATTATTTATCTTTAAGTAGGAAAGGCTTCC